CACCCTGCCTATTTCTGCCGTGAAGCAGTAATGCATTTCGGTTGGAAGGGTGGGGCAGCCTTTGTAACTATACTTGAGACATTAGAACTTATATCTCAAGGTGGGTGGCGCATTTAAGTTGTAGATGTCTATGGGCTCCAGTAACCACTTAATACCAGGTGGGCTGTGAGCTCGTCCACCCATCCAAGCAATAAAAAAATTTATACAATATGATTGAGATTTCGACCTAATGTCTTAAGGCGGCTTCACCTATTCACGCGGTAGGTATATATTTAGCAATGTCATTATCTAGGCATCATGCCTGGCCATGAGCTCTTCTTCCTAGCGAAAGCAATCACAAAGTAACTTAATTTTATTCATAGCCTTTGCTTATGATTTCTTTGAAATCTCGGAGGTGACTGGTAATTTTGTTGGCCACCAGAACTGATTTACCCGTTTCTCGTTACAGATTCTCGCTGCAGATGCGTCCCGGCGGTCTGGTGAAGATATACGACTCGGCGCTGATGTCCTCGTCCCAGTACAAGTGCATCCTCACGAGCGAGCGTACAACCGCTGACGAGCTACTGGCCATTCTGTTGCACTGCTACGACTCGACCGAAGGCGTCGAGCGGTTCTCCTTGTACGAGGTAAGAGTTTCTTATACGTTTTAGTTTACTTTGGAGGTACATATTGGGTAACTGGTATTCATCATTATCATCAGCCTTTATCTGCCCACTGCTGGACATATGCATTCCCCAATGCCTTCAACGCGGTCCACCGCCTTCCGCATCCAACGACTTCCCGCCGTGCGCACTAAGTCGTCGGTCCACCCGGTTGGAGGACGCCCGACGCTCCTGGTACCCATCCGTGGCCTCCATTCTACTTTCCTCCCCCACCTCGCGTCACTGGTTCGTCAGATGTGACCGGATCATTGCCACTTTAGCCTGCTAACTTTGAGAGCCATGTCCTCGACTTTGGTTCTCCGTCGAGTTTCTTCGTTCCGGATTTTGTCCCTTAGAGAAATACCGAACATAGCCCGCTGTGCCACTGGTATTCAGGCGTTACTAATCATTTTTCATCCTTATAATATGATTTCCTCCTTTTCCTTCGCTAAAACATTGTGTTTTTATGAGTCGTATCGTCTGTGGTGGCACGGTACCATATACGATAGTAAAAACTTTGTTCGAGTCTGTTTTAAATTCGGGCTCTGCATATACATATTAGTTGTCGTTTATAATTTTAGGTATCCTAGTAAATGTCATTTTGGGTCGTTGATTATAGAACACATCGGAAAGCAATCTTCCCGTGAAAAAAAACTTCATCACACAAACTGTTGGAGTATAATAAATAGTAGCAAATAAAAGCTTTAAGTGTAGCACATACACGATACTGCTAATAATAGAATTTGAATACGAAAAATAATTAATTTGTCTATAAGCTTAAATTTTGCATACCAACCAACTCATCGTCAACCTGATGTTACAGGAATTCCACAGAATTAAAATTTCTAAATGTATTTTTCCAGGTGTATCCATCACAAGAATACGAGCGAAAGCTCCATCCAGACGATCTGCCCTTATTGGTGCAACGGGCCTGGCCCCCTGAGAGCGACTGCCATTTCCGTGTGCGGCGGAACCCTCGCGTACCCCCTCCGCCCCCCGCTGCCTCCGTTGTCGCCCCACATGCCGCACACCTCGCCTCCTCCCTCCCTTCACTCGATGAACCCTCCCGGGCCCTCTCTGCGCTGTCGTTAGAATCAGACGACAAACGATACAGTCCTGTATACAAATTCCCAAGCATAACATATTGCCAGGAAACAAAAAACGATTATCTATACATTTGATCTTATAAGGAAATGTTAATTTGGTATGTAAATAAATTCTGTAAAGTGTAAATATAAATGGGAATCGTGTGAAACCAAAGAAATGTTGCTAACGGTATGCTTAAGGTCGATCGAGGCTGGTTCTGGAAAATGTTATTGTACTACTTGAAGGAAATAACCGTTGTAAACATAATATGAAAGTTAAATTAATTGATCGATTATTTCATGACAAATTAAATATCTAGTAATGTTTAATTCATATAAAATTTATACAAATCAAGACGATAACAACATCATCTCAAATCCAGTAACATTAAATTGCACGCACATTTTATTATATTATGTGTTGAATATATAATTAATTTTCAATATTATCCTTCAACCTAGATCTAGTCGGGTTAAGTATTGCAAAATCGATTTACTTGTTGGTTTGATGAATTGGATTTGATTTGATGGACATTTGAATTCGAAACATTTTAGAACGTTTTTGCACTGAATGTTTTAGAAAGAAAAGAAAAAAATATGTAACATACATTACATACTACAGATAAGACGGAACTGAGATATCTACCATACATACAGTGTGCTGCAAAAGTGCATGGATAGCACAGTCAATACCGTATGAACATATATGTAGCGCCATCTGTTATTAATACGGTATTACTAATCAGTGGCAGTATTATTTTCTTGAGAGCGGGTTGTACTATTGTATAGTTATATTAGCTGTTGTTTGTGTTGCGTTATGTGTTTATCGCTATTTAAAATGTATCGGTAATTAGGTAAAAAACAAGACTAGATTAATATCGGATAATCGAGTCGTTACCTAATACTATGCATGTAGTAAATGAAACACTAACGCCATCTTGTTTGTTTTTATTATCTTGGTGTTCATAGAATTTTAGAGGTTAAGGTATCCGTGCAATTTTGCAGCTGACCGTACACTACAAAACCATAAATCAGCTTGCTTTGGTCTGTGTGCTTAGTACGAGTTTTTTAACGTTCTCGATAGCGTAAAAGTTAGTCCAATTTTGTATGCAGTTGGAACAGCGCCCCTAGCGGCAAACGTAGGCAAACGATCCCATTCCGTACAAATATGAGCTAACTTTTACGCTGTCGAGAACGTTAAAAAACTCGCACTAAGCGCACTGGTCCGGTAAAAAACTTAGATTCATCGGCACGTCTCTACCCTAATGCTAGATGCAAGCTATTAGTATAGTATTTGGCGATATTAGAACAGGTAAATCTTCACTAATAAAATAATACGGCCAGTTTTTGATGTTTAAAATGTATGAAAAAGCCTGCTCTGACTGCCGCGCTATTCTTTTGATCAATCAGATTTTTTTACTCTACCAGGGATCGCCTGTTGATTGGTTAATATATGAATGTCTTATTTAGCGAATCTATATTAAAAGGACGACTAAAATTTAATTTTATTTTATTTTAAATAACAATTGTTTTGGAAACCATTCATCTAATCTAACGAGTCATGGCGAGTTTATTGTTATAATTAGTCGTATCAATCAGGTACAGGTTGAGTATGATGATAGTTCTCTCAGCCTGGATACATATTATTTGTCTTTTTTTGCCTGCCTATATAGCTCAAGGACGTTTTTACTAGATTTAGAACAGGGCTGGGAATATAACCAACAGTGCACACTTTCCCTGAGTGTTCTTTAATTTATCGCTGAATCAATTCTGAGTGTCGATTTTCTAATGCTCGCCCTACACTTAATATAAGCCAGCGGATAACGTTGTTGTAAGTATACAGGCTGTTTGAAAACTATGGTTATATCAATACAAGTGCTTCTATGATTTCGAAATGTCGCGAACATAACACGAGCTTCGTTTATCAAAGTGTAAGTAAGACAATTAAAATGATGATTACTGAAACGGCAGTTCTTAACGCTTAGCTTAGCAAATTAGTATAGTTTTCCACTTTACGGTGCAGTACTGACGTACGCAAGTAATCGAAGTGAGGAGTCAGTACGTCGGTATCACCGTAAACAAAGGCACCTCATAAAGCAATCATCCTCATAATATATAAATTAACAATTTTGACATGTGATCATCATATTACGCCTGCTATAGATGTCGCCAAGTTCAATGACCTTTTCCTAAAAAAATACAACTAAAATTCGCTGTTCCGTACAATATATGTACGTATTACGTATACCTCTTACCGTTTTGTTTACATTGTAATTTATTTAGAAATAATAATTGTTTTTGTTAAAATAAAACGATTTATTATTTCAAAGTTTTAATAATCGCGTTGTCATTGAAGTCATCCTCACGGAGCATTAAGAGTGGTATTAGATTGTAACAAAATGGTTTTAACTTGAACATAGATCATTAAATTTTGTTTTTGATATAACTCTGTATACTTAATCTTTAGTAACACCACCTAATTCTTGCAAATGCTATTACCGCCTATAGAATCATCATGATCGATGTAAAAGTTAACAAAAGTTAAACAGCTTAATTTATGAGTACTCTAATAATCTGTGCACTAAAGTTGACATTATTTGGAATTGTATATATTTTAGTAAGTAGTCTAATTAGCTAGTAGACACCAAAGAGGTCAATGTGGGAGATAAATATTTATATGTTATAATATAAAATAATTTATTGAGTACAGATTTAAGCTGTACAAAACATGTCAACGAATTTATCGGAAGCACGTCTATAATAAAAGTCAGTTTTCAGAAATAATTGAATGTTTTATTTTAGTTTTTTCGTAAGTTCCATTTACTTCAATTACAGTTTTGATTTACTTGGCTACTTATTGGGCCCTAATCGCTTAGACCAGTTCTTCCCAAGCTTTTTTCTTTCCCTTTAATAAACTTAATTTGTATCCCTCTCCTGATAACTCTTTTCTTTTTCGTTTCTGTTAATAGAAGCAAACTTATGGAAACGGATGTAGTGTACTTTATCAGCCGAAAGTTTGGTGGTACCTTACTCATTAATTGTAAGGTTCATTTTAAACTACACATTGGAGACAATACACAAACTATTTCAACTTATCAGTATGTATATCCGGAGTTGCCATTATACGTACCCGTATCAAGGGTACCGCAGATACCATATTCACCAGCTGGGCGACCATATTCACTCTCCGAATTCTGTTAAATTCTGCATAATACTATTCTCATTGGTGTGACCATATGTCACACGGCAAAAACAGCTCAAGTAATTACTGAAGTAAGGGGTGGGTAAATAATTCAAAGTTCGATATAAAGATATTTTATTTACAAATGATGCAACAATGAAGTACAGACGATGCAGTATAATTACAGAGTATGTTTTCAAAAAAATGGGAAATTACAGATAATATCTAACGGTAGTAACTAGAATTATCTGGTTACAAGTAGCACGAGGCGAGCGTCCGGCGGCAGCGACAAGCGACAAGCGGGCGACCGCCGACCGCCACATACTAACATCCCTCCAATCAGCGTTTTATATTAAAATCGAAAATATAAAATGTCTTTTATAGAGTTGGAGCAATAGAAACGGTCAGCGCAAAAGTGGCCTTACCTTATACTTGTATTCGTACGTACCAAAGTTCAGCATAAAGATTTTAATTCACACAGTGGAGTAAGCCTAACTAGTTCTTTACTTAAATAGCAGGTGGCGTTACCAAATTTATAGTTATTGATGTATTTATATTTTATCGAATCTTTAGTCTTAAGCTTAGGCCCCTGTTGCGCTGGCGGCCTCAAAGCGTGTCACATGTTGAGGTCACTAGACAGCGTTGAGCGCTCGGCGCGAGGGCCCGTACTCGTCGGCGTCGGGGTCGCGGCGCGTGTAGTCGTGTCCGTACTCGTACTCGCGCGCGTACCGCTCCCGCCCGTAGTACTCCTCCTCCAGCCGCTCGGGGCGCGGCCCGCGGGCTCGCCCGCCTGCGACACCCGCACTACTCACAACTCTACACTTCGATATGCCTAATACATTTCTCACTTGGATCTGTTCAAACATACTTATGCCAAGAATATTTAGAATTTAAATAGTGACGATATTTACTTGTTTAACAAAAAAATTAATACATATGCGAGTCTGAACATGTCCAGGTCGAATTGTAAAAACACTCTAAAACGAAAACCAATCAAAATCATTGACAAAAACCAAACTAGTCAATCAAAATTGTCACACACGCAGGGTAAGGGTGAAACAGGGGGACAACCTAACTTACTGTCACTTAGACCTATAACACAGTAGTTGACTACTGCAACGTGACCTCCCCGGAGTTGCGGATTATCCCCGGACAAGGAAGGACCACCTCCGCCGAGGGGGGAGGGGAGCGCACTCCTGTGGAAAACTTCTACGTCAGACCGCGTCTGAAGCCCGTCTGACTTGTGAAAACGATCTTGGCGAATGGCAATTAGAACTAGTTTAGATTGATGTTAAAGAAAAAATGGAAGTGAGACAGTCGAAACAAATATTAAGTCCTCTCATTGTGAGGATTGAGGCATCAAACAATGTCAATGAGACTCAAAAAAGTTAATAAAACATTTCCATTCCATTACAACCAAAGTGCGGCCCTGACAGGCGGATGTAAGAGGGGTCAAGGTTAGTTAGTATAAGCGTACATTCCACAAGCCTCTGCAATGCGCGGCCAGTAATGTTAAACCTGTGGTATCTGCCGGCGTCCCTGACTTATGAGAAGGATCTAAGGTCCCCGGGGCGATGGTTAATGAGCTTGACCAGACGCTTGTACTGAAATGAACGGGACTCGTGTCAGCATGGCAAGGGCATACAATTACAAATGTTTCGGCCGTTTCAGGAAACCATAGTTGATGGATTACCTAAATGTGAATGATGGATTTTTTTACAAAAATAAAGTTTACGTATACCTCCTACAGCATGAAAAAATAACGAAAGCGCCATCTATGAATGAGGGATGTCATGATTTAAATTATTTTCGATCGGGCGGAGTTGACATTACATTCACTATCTACAATCTACTTAATTACAGCTGACCATTTCGTATGAGTTACCTCTTTCCCTCTCATAATTATATGAGTCAGACCTCTCCCGGTGACCTCCAGAGTGAGCAGGGGGATCAAAGTAATGCAGTGCACGGTTACAAATGGGTTATAAATGACTTTTATAAAATTGCAAGTCTGATAACTAACTAAGCATAGATATTCCTTAATACTGAATAAAATGTTTTGAAATAATTTATGACCACAAGATATTAATTACTCCACCAGTATTCGTAATATTGAAGAGTTGTTACCTATTAAGTGTAGTAATTTACTGAAGTAACATAATTTTCTAAAAGGTAAATAATAAAATTGATTTCACCAGTATTAGGTTAATTACCTCTTTCCCTCTCATAATTGTACGAGTCGGATCTCTCCCGGTGACCTCCAGAGTGAGCCGGGGGATCAAAACAATGCAGTCCGCGGTTACACATCGGTTAAATAATTTATAGTACTAAGGTAATAATTTTAGAAATATGTACTGTTAGTACATTTTTATGTATACATCTCTCTGACCTGGACGCTTCTGCTCTAGAGTTCTACTAAACTACAATTTTAGATAAATTATTCAAAGATATCTAATTTTTTGAATTGTACACATATAATACTTTAGAAGCAAATTTAAAAATTAAAATTATATCCAAAGTAAAAATCATTGATATCCGATATTGTGCCTTTAATATCGAGAATTACTATTTTGTTTATAGATTTATTTACTGTGATTATTCCGATTTCTATGGATGTATAAAATTTGTGTTCTTTTTCGTTACATATTACAAATACCATTTTGAATACATACAACGAATTTCATGTATTCAAAATGGCGGGACTAATTTTGCATCTCAATGTATAATCTATATTCGGATTTAGGATGGTACATTTAAGTAAAAGGGTTTTAGGCATACAGTCTGTATATTGGAGCATTCCTTACTCACTATTTTTAAATTGTTCATGTCTTATATTGTTTGAATCTATTCTAGTTTAGTTGAGAGAGCTGTTTAATATGGAGTTGTATTAGAGAATTAGGATTCCACCACATTGCTCTAGTGATGTGACATTTTTTTTACGAACGAGATTTTAAATCTGGCTATCGATTGAAGGCTGTCATATCTAACTAGCCACGTCTAACTTCGTTGGTAAATAAACGAAATCGCAGGAGTGATATTTTTATGTCAGTTCTGGGTATCTTGGGTATGTGTATTTGATGTGATAGTGAACTTGATTTTGGGGAATAATATAGGATAATGTAATATTAATATAGTTGCACAAGTGCTATCTATGGGCATCTCGTATTATTTGCATTTTAGTTTTAATGTCGCTTTGACTTACTATGTCCATTGTCAGACAAATATATTGAGACAGTTTTAATGAGTGGGACGGTCGCGGCGGAGACTCACCGGGCTGGGCGTGCGCGAGGTGCGCGAGGTGGGGCAGGGGGGCGAGGTGCGCGCGGGGGGCGGCGGGCGGCGCCAGCGGGGCGGCGGCGGGGGGGTGCGTGGCGCGCCAGTACTTCTGCAACACACATCATGCGTAGTTAGTAAGCTACTACCTCACTCTATCGGTGATGACATAAGTTTCTTTGAACTAGAGAAAGTGAAGTTTCTGATGTCTCACTGGAAAAATGGAAGATAACCAATCAACATTTTGCTACTGCCTTCGAAGGCAAACGCTCATATACGACCACGTTGATGGTTACTGTCGCTCAGCCAAGCCTCTGACTATCTAATCTAGAGCCTCAGGTTTTCAAGTACCAAAGAACCGACCTCCAGATGCTCTGCGATGCGGTCGCAGGCGTCCTCCAGCTGGTTCTCGTCCAGCACGAGGTCGAACATCTCCTTGGGACACTGCGACAGCTTCTCGGCCGCCACCATTTGCACGGACAGGTTCTTGGTCTGGCCCTTGCCCCGGGACTTGATCAATCGCTGCAACACCTGCAAACCGAGGCTCTTTACTGATCCTCATTTTTCTTTAGTTTAAATGGACAGTCCGTGACTTCTTTGACCTTTAGACGAATGAATGCCCGTATCGTACTTGTGTAGGCCCCCCAGTCATCGCTCAGTAAATTAACCCATAGACACAGCCCCGCGAGTTTCTCGCCGGATCTTCTCAGTGGGTCACGTATCCAATCCGGTGGTAGATTCTGCGAAACACTGCTCTTGCTAGGGCCAGTATTAACAACACTCCCTGTTTGAGCCCCGTAAGCTCACCTACACATCAAGGAAAAGCCTCTCAAGACTATCAGCACAGACAGAAAAAAAAGAAAAAAGTATAGGCCGTGAAGCAGTGACGTGTTCCGGATTGAAGAGTGGGACTTTACACTCTACAATAGCGACGCCAACCTCATGCACTAAGTTAGGGTGGTGGCATTCACGAGACACCTATTGCCACGTATATCCGACTTATCACCATCTGTTAAATGAAGCATCTTCTCACCTTGGGGCTGGTGATCTTTAAGTAGACAATGGTGGGCGCTAGTGAGGTCTTGGCCAGCTGCGACGGGTGGTTGATGGTGTCGCAGTCCAGCACCACCAGCTGCAGGGTCCGCGCCAGGTCGAATATCCTCTCGATTTCAGCCTGAATATCATTACGACAGAAGGCTATTTTTATCATTTCGTTATTATCTTTGACTGATGTTAATTACAATATTTTGCAAACGAAAACCATATCCCGTTAATAATAACAAACAAACTTTATGTCATGGATTAACAAGTTAGTAGTAGTTAGAAGCACGCGTACTATCCTATAGAAACACTCCTCCCGCGTCCCCCATAAAAAGCCATGAAATTATCATTCCAAAGTGTAGCAATGTATTATTTGACCCACGTTCTTGTACACCTGATGGGATTTATGGATTTCAAACTAGCTTCATCTACCTTATAATTCGTTTAATTTAAAACAAAAATACATTTGTGCAATTCACACGTGGTAGAAGTGAAACCTTCAAAAATTAAAATACAATTATCCTAAATGTCTAAGTATATGTAAAATTTTGTCATTAGTAAATAATTGTAAATCATCTTTTATAGTATGAGGTAGCGCCCTCTGTGAATTAATATTTTAACTTCACTTATAATCCTAAATTAAAATTCACTACAAGAGGTTTCATACATACACACGTTAGTAATAAAAAATCTCATAGATGGCGCTGTATTAAACTGTCTCTATAGACTTATTTTTTCGTTTCATCGAGTTTGAAATCACAACGATTCTCAAGAAGTTTCACTTCAAAAATACTTGTTTCTAATGCGTCCGTACTATATCGACTACCGTGAGAGATGCAAGCGGCGGGCACAGGGCGGATTAGTAAGTAGTACACACACACACACACAAGGCGGAGCTGGTGGTTCCGACCTGAACCTCGGCCAGGCAGTTGTTCCTCGAGTTCCCCCTCTCGACGAAGGGTTTCCTGGGCTGGTTGGCGAGCAGCGATCGCTTGGCCAGCGAGATGTCCGCCGAGACCCTGGTTATGATGATCCTGCAACGTGACGCGAGCGGTTACCTGCACCTCGGCCAGGCAGGTGGAGCGCGAGTTGGAGCGCTCCATGATGGCCCTTTTGGAGGGGTTGTTGAGCAGCGAACGCTTCGCCAGCGATATGTCCGCCATCACCCTCGTTATTATTATCCTGAAACGGTTAGTTTGGGGAGCTGGTTAGTTCATGCTGATGGTTTGGTGAGGGTGAATTTGTTAGGACTGTAAACTATTGAGCCAGTTAGTAATCGGAAGAAGCGAATTGAGAATTTTAAAGTGTTTGTGAAGTGATATATGTGCTCTAGGTGATAAATACAGTTTTAAGTTGTACTATGGTGGAACATTTATTCATCCCAAACCCCAGCGCGTAACAGTACCTATATAGTCCGCCTAATCATGAACCGTCAGAAACCATGTAATGTTGTATTGTTAAAGAGTATGCGACGTTAAAACAATGACAATGAAGTTGACTGTTAATAATTCAAAGCATTATACTCGGAACAAGAAGTTTATGAAAGATTACAACTATGACTGAAAAACCTGTGTACAGTTTAGAAAGAGCACTCGTTTTTTATTAGTTTTTATTAATTTGGTATTTATGTAATGGAGTTTGTGAACGTCATTTTTACGGCGTCAAGACGTCCGATTAACTTGAAAAATTGCACACGCATCAAGTACCGATGAAGACACAATAATTGAACAATTTCGCTCTAATATGCTGACCTGTATCAACAGGATAAAAAGGTGAAATTGTTACTTCGGTTTGCTGTTAAAGCTACAGCTATTTATTTGATTAGAACCATTGTATTACGTTTTGTCTATGGGTCAAGTCGCCAATCGACTCTGACTCTGTTAGAAGACGCTGAATAAATAAACAAATTATCTGGGATACATCATACGATCATCTATCCCCGCATTAGGATTCCCTGTACTTTAGGAACTAGAGACTGATATATTACACATACATATACAGCTTTCAAGATATATAGTACATAATTGGATATTAAGCATCCAGACAAACAGTAAACTAACTTTATCATCATAGCCCATAGACATCAACAATGTAAGCGTCGCCACGCACCTTGAGATATGAGTTCTAAATCTGAGTTATTACAGTACAACGGCTGCCCCGCCCTTCAAACCGAAATGTATTACTGCTCCAGGGAAATAGATGAGGTGGTGGTACCGCCACAAGTAATCTATCAGCTAGTTATAAATAATAATTTGTTCAGATATGAACTCCAAGAAATTATTATTAGTCGAACTCACCGTCCTTCGAAGCGCCTTTTTAAGAAATCAAAAAGCGCCTTCTGCATCATGTCCGTGACTTCGTATCCTTTGAGCGAGGGTCCCACGAGGACGACCGGCCTCATCGAGGGCACCACGTCGTACGGAGTGCAGGCCTCCTGCTTCTTGAAGAATGGCTTCTTCTTTTCCTTGCCAGCGGGCAGCGCGCCCGCCCCGCGCCCCCTGCCCGCCGAGTCGGACTCGTCACCTATAGATCGTACCACGTCAATGGAGCCCTAACTCGGAAAGGAGTCCTTTTGCGTTCACCGTTACAACAAACAAGCATACGAAACTTGCATGCACCAACAAGACCAATATAATATAATAAATAAATAATCCATCAATTAATATTTCAAATAATAAGGGATATTAATGCGAGTTTATCTTTAATAAATATATTATATATAAACGACACAAGCCTCGCTCCGTGCAGTTTGTGAAGGCGAGTTGACCCTCAAGAACTGTATTTAAAATATATAACTTATATTCAGAAAATTTTGAATCGTTACGTAAGTGCATAACGGTTATGCCACAAAAAATGTAACAATAATAAGAAAACATTCATCCAAATTTCAATTTCAATATTCTCTTATAAGAGCCATATTCAATTATAACTGACGAAACGTCGGATCTCACATCATTAGGGGATACTAAACGTGACAATTCCCGTCACGCCTCGCGCAGGCGTTCGTTAGAGATTTTCGCAGGCTAGAAATTGTAGTACAATAAGGCGTGTAGTTCAAGACCGATCGTGATCGCGAAATACTGTTGAAGCTCGCTGCCACATCTCGCAGCTTTGAAAAGTTAAAAAACAAACAGAAGAACGATTGTGGCATATTAGAATCCTTTTTTTATTTTTGAATAACAAGATTTGGCAACCGCACACCATTTATAATAGCTAAAATTATTTATAAAAGCTATTATCTATTATTACACTGTTTAGTTGTCATGACTTTTATTTCTAAGACTTTTTAAATCAATCATAACACCAAATAGCAACATATGTTTTATTAAACAAGGTTGTATTTTAGCGTGTATTGTTTGGTTACTTCTTAATTATTTAGTACATATCCTAACTTATTTTTTATGTTGCTTTGGGGGTAGATGAAAATCATTACAAAATAATTTCGTCACAGATTTCACTACTAACACGACCACGATAGGAACACGATTGCACGGCTGAATAAAGTAGAATGCATTTAAACCTTTATTGTATACTTAATATACGTATGTACTAAAATATAACGGGAGAATTAAAAAGTTCAAACTTTATCAATTTAAAACATTACTTTTGATGTTTTTTAAGTTCATGCTTACATTAAAAATGGAAGTTTAATATTTTATTTATTTAGAATTATTATTAGACATTTCAGATAAAAGCTTTTTTTTGGTTCGTCGCATAGATTTAAATTTTCATTGTCTTGCAGACACTACAAGAATCTTATGTATTCATATTTAAAAAAGTGTAGATTATACACTTACATTTGACATTAAAAAAAAGAAATGAAGTAGGTATGTATTATAAATACTTGATAATTTTACACGGACCGAAAAATTCTGCTGACATTGCAGGGCAAAATTTGCTAAACATATTTAGAATATGATTTGAACATTTTGTTCGGATTCACCATAATATAATCTATTATCAAACAAATTTATAAATGCAAGGGACACGTGCAATGGTAACATGGCATGGTAAAAATGAGGTAAAATGCAAAATAAATTTAATCAAACTAAGCAATTGGTAAATTCAATATTTTTACCAAATTAATATAGTTTAGTGAAAATTGGCAACATTTCCTGGTAGAAATAAAATGGGTGACAAAATGTTTCTTACCTCGATCGAAGGAGGGTACATCTGAAAATATTTTTTTTAAATGAGAACGAATATTACAGATGTAGATTAAATAAAAATGTCGAAAGTACAATTTAATTTCGTTTTTTCGAAAACGGGAACAAAATTTGTTTATTGATTACACAATCTATTTAATTTACATCTTCGATAGAGAGCACCAGGAAATTGAGCAATCTCACCAATGAAGCGACGCGATGGCATCGGCGTGAGATGAGGTGGGTATGGCGGTACAAAGCAGTTACATTCATTCACAACATCAAGGCAACTTCACATTTACACGAGCGATAAATACTCACTTTTGCCTTTATTTTTATAAATACAAAGGGTTCATTTAAAAACAGTAAGACGATTCATAGCCGTCATAAGCACAGTTAATCTTTGACGTCACAATGACAGAGTGCTGTGTGCTTAGAGTACGAGTTTTTAACGTTCACGATAGCGTAAAAGTTAACTCAAAGTTGTATGGAATTGGAACGTTTGCCGCTAGGGGCGCTGTTCCAACTGCATACAAATTTGAGTTAACTTTCACGCTATCGAGAACGTTAAAAAACTCGCACTAAGCACACTGGTGACAGCAGACCCTGATCATACTCGTAAAAGGTTTGTAAAGACAAGCTGAAGTTTTACGACAAAATTTATTGAAGTTATAAATATAGTTAATTAGCGTTATGACGCGTCACTCAATCTCAATCGCCAAAATAGTTTTTTATATGTAACCCTCTGTGTTTAATCAACAATAAGCCAATTAACACATCGAAACACGTCTACACATATAGATCGTCTTGCAACTTATGTATGTATGAAATCCGTGAAATTTTTTATTTTCTCAATTTAGTATTTTCGTTACACGGACTAGAAACAATTGTAATGGTAATCTCGTGTTTATCTTATCCTCACCTCCTCCTCGTCGACGCGTCCAATTGTTCTTGACCAATGAAACTATAATGTATTCCAGATTACGAAATTTGTAGGAAGAATAAGATGAACACGGAATTACTATGTAAAAGAGGACCGAAATATAAATATTAAATATATTATTTTACCGACATATAACAATAGGACTTGACGCAGTTTTTACTAGAATAATACAAAATTGAAGGTGTTATGACTAAGGGAAGACGCATTTTGTTTTAAGAAATTTGTACACAGCACGTGTTTCCGAATGAAAGAAATGAGATTCCGATCCGGTGGTAGATTCACCGAAGCTCTGCTCTTGCTAAGGTCACTGTTAGCAGTTTCTCTCAGGTTACTGTGAGCTTATACCTAGCCGTCCGCGCGTAGTTGGGATAGCCCCTTAGACTATCAGTGAAATTAAACATTAAAAGTGATTTTAATTATGTTCTAAGGAACGGTACGATTTAAAATCCAATGTAACTGAAATGATGCACTGTTACAATTACTGGCGGTAGGACGTCTTGTGAGTCCGCGCGGGTAGGTACCACCACCCTGCCTATTTTCGCCGTGAAGCAGTAATGCGTTTCGGTTTGAAGGGTGGGCAGGCATTATAACTATACTGAGACCTTAGAACTTATGTCTCAAGGTGGGTGGCGCATTTACGTTGTAGATGTCTATGGGCTCCAGTAACCACTTAACACCAGCAATAAAAAAACACACACACACACACACACACACACACACGTAACGCGACACCCAAAAAAACATAAAGAGACAAAAAATTACATCTCTAAGATTTAGCCTGCGAGAGAATGAGACAGTCGACTTACTGTTGGTTCTACTTGTACTATGTACAAATTTCTTTTCTTTAAATAAACTGCATTCAACACCCCTTGTTATACGAGAGTTTATCATACCGACGTAATAAAATAAGAAAATTTTAAATCAGTTAGATTCTAAACGTACAGAAGCGAGACGATTTTTTTCCAAGGATAGATACATAGAAATAGATAGATAGATAGAAAACAAACTGCGTTGTACGTGGTGCACTAGACGAAATAATAACTGTAGATATTACAAAGAAGTCGATAATTAAATCAACACCAAATTAAATCTATGTGTTCGTAAACTGCCAATTTTAACACAAAACGACCCGTATTAGAGTAGAAAATGATAAGGATTTATTAGGTAAGAAAGCAATGACGTCTGTGAAATGAACTGAAAACTAATTGTGGTCATAATGCCGGTTTGCAACCAGAAACCCTTGACCGCTTGGTTGTGGTGGAGAAAGACCTTGCCACAGGTCACTCTACAGCTGGTCGGACTAAGTAACTACCTTTACTGGACTCCCTATTGGGCCGTTCCAACTGACGGAGGACGGAGGATGGCTCCTCAGTTAAGTCGAATGCAACGAAAGAACTTTTAAGTCTGGATATCGGGAGAGCTCAGACAAGGCGCGAGGAGAGTACTCATTTGTAAGCAGCAGCTTGGCTGTGCCTCAAGTATTAAGACAGTAACCACTCACCATCAGGGCAGGATGCTCGACTGCCGATAAGTGTAATAAAAATACAAGTATTGGAAATAGTGTGAAACCGAATTCGCCACATGTTCTCATTAATAAATGCATAGACTTATTATTGGTTGTAGGACCTCTTCTGAGTGTGCGCGGGTAGGTACCATCACCCCGCCAATTTCTGCCGTGAAGCAGTAATGCGTTTCGGTTTGATGGGTGGGGCAGCCGTTGTAATTATATTGAGACCTCAGAACTTACATCTCAAAGAGGGTGGCGCATTTACGTTGTAAATATCTATGGGCTCCAGTAACACCAGGTAGGCTGTTAGCTCGTCCACCCACATAAACAATTTTTTTTTTAATCCTAGATTTAAGATTTTCTGGCCTGAAGACGACATTTGTAAAACAATGCATAAATTAGGGAATTGATCCCGAGAATTTGACATTAGGAAAGTTAAATTTGAAACTTTCACTGAAACAACGCAACCCAATTTAATTCTCTATTGCCGTATTGTGGTATCGGCGACTACGTCTTCACAGATCACATGTTGATTACCGCTAAACACGACAAACTGTACTTATATAAATTATTTCGTCTAGTGCACGAAGACAGGACCGTGGTCAGCTTGTGTTTAAAAACAATCACACAGTGTACAATTTCTGGATGTTTGGAGTACTAGTAATACTCTCTGGTGAAGTGTTGAATTGAGTCCACAGCATCAAGCGCGCTAGTTCCGACCAGACCGTTGTGTGAGTTAATGTCGCTAAGATAGATTAATGTACAGGTGTTTCAATGACATAGACCAGTACGTAGATTATGCGTGGGAAGTGTAGTGTGGTGTAGTGGCGCACAAGCTGACCACGGGCGGCGGCGATGTACCGTGTGGGGGATGCGATGCAGTGGACGTACCGGGCGTGGGGGGAGTGCTACCTCGGGAGTGGGGGTGGGCGGCGAGCGCGGAGCGGCCCCTGGCGGCCAGCCCCGCGCGCACCATCTCCAGCTTCACGGGGGACGGGATGAACCCTATGTCAGAGTTCTCCGCCACGAGCCGACCGATCCACCAGTTGTTGTCGTATTTCTCCTAGAATTCATACCTGGTCTTGGAGAGTCTATCACTGATATGGCGTTTTTTTTTTTTAATCAGAGCTGAAGATGTGAAGATCAGAACAGCCGCTATGTACACATAACCGCTCCAACTTCGACTTGATGACATTAAGCGTCAGCTGGACACGTGGAAGCGTGACGTCTTGTGCTTATCAACGCTAATAATTGATCAAGACTTTTCGAATCTCAAGACTCAAAATTGGGCCTCGGAGCTTAGAATGCTAATAGATTTTGATCTATATTAAAATTTGAGACATTATAACGGCTACCCCCCACCTCATAAACCGGGATGCATTTTTCTCGCGGCAGAAATAGACAGAATGGGGCAACCAGCCCGTGTGCACTCACCATAACCCTGCCACAAAGAAATAATTAATCTATTCATTGAAGTGAAACTTCTTTAGGGGCGCTGAGAGTAAAATTTAACTCGCAACAGTTTCGTTACGGCTAGAGAGAAAATATACAATTTAGGAAGAGCGAGAGTGAGATAATAGACAGAGCGTCTCGCGAACCACTCGACGTGGAGAGAGGAAAAGGACAAAGCGAGTAAGGTTGTTTCCCTTATACATATTGAAATAAGGACGAAAAATTAAAAAAATCATAATACTTCACACAGCAAAAGAAGTTTCACTTCTTACTTTTTTCACGTGTTCCAAGTTGCACGCGTACCATTTCTTTACCTAAATATGACAGCCGATAATAATAGAAACAGTTAGTTACAAAACGTGTTTCAAAAGAGCCTATGACATCTATGAATCACTAAGCCTGTGAATGAATTGTGGTCACCAACATCGCCAGGAGTCCGAGTGCGAAGGTTACCTTAATGTGCAGGAAGTCTCGAACGTCGAAGGAGATGGCGGTGCCGTGCACGGGCGAGTCGTCGTCGATCTTCGCGTCGTAAGCGACGTTCGTGCGGACGGCGAACGCGACCGGCTTTGACTGGAACCGTACAAATAATCATTGGATCTACATTACAAATACTTTGAGGGACTCTTATCACGCCTAGATGGGTGGAGATCACAGCCCACCTGGTGTTAAGAGGTTACCGGAGCCCATAGACATCTACAAAGTAAATGCGCCACCCACCTTGAGATATAAGTTCTAAGGTCTCAGTTTTAGTATAGTGACAACGGCTGCCCCGCCCTTTAAGCCGAAACGCATTACTGCTTCACTGCAGAAATAGGCAGGGTGGTGGTAACTACCCGTGCGGACTCACAAGCGGTCCTACCACCAGTAATTACGCAAATTATAAATTTGTGGGTTTGATTTTTATTATACGATGTTATTCCTTCACCGTGGAGGTCAATCGTGAACATTTGCTAAGTACGTATTTCATTAGAAAAATTGGTACCCGCCTACGGGATTCGAACACCGTTGCATCGCTCGATACGAAAGCAGCGGATGTCTTATCTTTTAGGCCACGACGACTTTGCCACGATGATGTGCTATTGCAATAATCAGGGGTAGAATAATTAGTCTACTCTCTTTCTAGTTCGTTTTTTTAGGCGTTACCACTGGAACTCATTGACACGCCCGATAATATACAACCATAATGACTCGATAACAATTATGACTAACAAACTATGACCGCTGTGTGAGATTTCATATTTAAATTATTCAATTGTGTATGTAATGCGTGGCTGAAACTCAACACGCTTGCAATCACTGAAATATCGGGAAAATATTATTATAATTGAAATACATGGTAAGAACTAGCCAAACATACTTATAAATCGTGCGAAGACCGTGCATTTCGCTTATTAGCCTTAAAAAACGTTTGCTTCTAGAATGCTCATTCTGGAATGTTCATCAGGTATACATACCCTCGCCTTATCCAGCTGTGAGAGAGCCTGCGCTTCCTTTTCTCTGCGCAGCGCCTCCTTGTCATCGTCCAGCGACAGCTCCGACGACGGCTGCGAACAATTCGACTCCGCGGAGCCCTGGAAAACAATAAACAAACACTTCAACACACAAACACACATTTCAGATCGGGAAATGTTTATTAAATTGTTTCTCAGTGCTAAAGACTGGTTTAGGCGTATCATATAGTTTAAATTCGCAGTAAATAAATACTTTAGGTTTTCTTTTTCAGGTATTACTATAGTAACAATAAAACGCGAAGTAACTTACCAGTTACCAGTTACCACTTAACTTACTTAACTTAACTTACTTAACTTAACTTACGATGAAACTTATGATGAAACAATAAAAATGCAAATTCAAAACAAGACTACAATTTGTGAGTTATAAAAGTATTTTTTATGTGGTTTTGCGTATTGTCATTGAACGCGTATTAACATGCCTGGGCTACATACCGTTTTAAATGTCTTTTATCGATATTATTTTAATTCAATTAAAAAAAAACCATAACAATTACCATAACAATCGATATCCGTGGAAATGGAATATAACCATGTCTAGAATCCAATTTAGATTACAACCTAAGTCTTGTTTTAAAGTCCATTAATTAATTATTTACTTTAGAATTACTGTTTCATGACGATAGGATAGACAGGACTGAAGGAAACGCTCTTCATGTTTCATTCCTGCCCTATATATATGTCACTGAAATGAATTAAACTTGAATGTGCTTCAGGTATGATGATATACCTACTTACTACTCGTATTAGATTTGCACGAAGGAATATCCATATCCCAAAAGGAACCAGAATAGTAGTAGGATAGGAACTAGAAGTGCACTAAAATAGTAAACTTCAACTGCAAATAGAGGTAGAGAAATGGTGAATCCTTTGAGAAATATAGAAGAGAACTACGCTCAGATATGTGTTGAAGAAAATATGTACGTTTCTCGATTATCGGATTTTCGGACAAGGCTCCCTCTTAAATAGCTTGGGAAGATACTAAGCCACGGGGTTAACTTCCCCTATTTGTAAACAGAACGATGTCAGAGCAAAGTCGAACGACCACACAACAATTTTTATCATCGCACCGTCCGCCACCGCAGTAGAGTTCATCCATACTACCTGGAGCCACTGCGGTCATCCACAGTGCGTTTCCAGAGGTCTTTTTTGCCACGTACCATCCGGCTATGGAATGAGCTCCCCTCCACGGTGTTTCCCGAGCGCTATGACATGTCCTTCTTCAGACTAGGCTTGTGGAGAGTATTAAGCGGTAGGCGGCGGCTAGGCTCTGCCCCTGGCATTGCTGAAGTCCATGGGCGAAGGTAACCACTCACCATCAGATGGGCCGTGCGCTCGTCTGCCTACAAGGGCAATAAAAAAAAAGTGAACATGCAATTTAGAAATAAAATGTTACTAGGTTAAAGTGTATTTATATACACTTTGTAAAAATATGTTGCCACATGTATGCCAGAGAACCACTTGAGAACAACTCGGGTGATTTGGATGATGCCTATTTAGTCATGTTCGTAAAGGTTTGTATGGAAGATTGTTTTGGCAAGTCCACGGGATATTCTTTATACGTCCTTCATACAACATGGAGAAGATCTTCCACTGAGCGGGTGAAATTTCTCGATAGACCGACGGTCCGAGCATCATTGTTCTAAACTTGAATATATGCAAGCTTATCTTGACAATTTCGTTAGCCAGATATAGGCATCTGTCAATAGATTGTGTTCTATGTCCCACCTACCGCCACAAATTAGTGATAGCCAGAACGGAGCGCGACCGGCTTTCGACAGTGTCAATAAACTTTAATAACGATTTAGAGAACAAACGAGACGTACAGATATTTAAGTACAAAGATATCATTGTTGAGGATTGATAATAATTAGTTAGTTAAGCACCTTATATATTATAGTACCTATGGGTATATTCATCTATTTCCCCTAGAAACGCAATTCACATTTTGACGTTTGAATAAATCCAATATGAGTTATTTAATAGTAGTTTATTTTGACATTGTTATTTATCTATATATTAATACGTGAAGCAAAAACTTTGTAGCCCTTTTTATAGAGAAGGAGTGCAGAATGCTAATTTTTTTTTTAAATTATGCATTAAAAATACATTAAATCAATAAAAATAAAAACATTATACACACTACCATGTATTTGACACACACACACATAATATATATATATATATACTCTTTGTTTATTGTCAAACATTTGCTATTTTTATAGTCTGTGGTCAAATTGAGAATAGGTTAATATTGTTTATCTTTAATATTATTTTTCTGTAGTGTAGTCTTGCCGAAATCTGTGATAATAGAACCAATAATAGAATATTAATGTTCAAACTTATAATTTCAATTAGTTATAGTCGAATTTCGACTACTGCGGGACTACTAGTAAATATAATAATCCAATTTGAAGATTTTCTGGGTGATTAGTTTTAAAACATTACGTATGTATTTATTTTACATAAAATGAGTGCATTTAAAATATCGGAATTAAATAATACAAAATAATAAAAGTCTTAATCTTACCAAAGGTCTGTAGTTTGTCATTGGAGAAGGAGACGTGCCGACTGCATGCAATACAAATACATACACATACCATAAAAACATGCTTTTATAAAATTAAATATATTATATTGAAACTTGGAAATGAAAATGACACGTTTGGAACAAAATCGAATTGTGCAATTCAAATAAATGTTAGCAGAGTTGTGCATGAAGAAGGCAAGAGGACAAAAAATAAAAGTGAAAAATGAAATCCTCGCGAAAAAATTTCACTATCTTATATCATAAAATTCATTCAATATCATCATTGTCCGTAAAATGCGTGCGTAAAAATGTACATAAAACGATAATATATGTCCATAGTGAAACCGGCCCTTAGGCGACAAGGGCATTAGAATTAAATTAATATTTGGCGCGTAAAAATGAAAACGTTTCGGATCCTCTTGTAGTGGACATTTGTGTTTTAAATCAAAAAACCAAATTTGGCAGGCAGCTTCCTGGCGCAGGCTGCTTCCTTCTTAGTATAAATTTATTTTAAAAATTTGTGATGGGATATCAATCCTGCTTCGTAAATATATGAAATTTTCAAACTCGTGTTTAGGCTTAAAACTTCAAGCTTGGAATGTGTTATTCGAGATATCCTAATTAATTTTCAAGTAAAAATGCGAGCATAAAGCAGATTTTGAGATTACCTAAGATTGCGGATGAAGTGAGCGTAAGGAGTGATATCTGAATTTGTTTATTTTGCCAATTAAGTGCTTCTTAAGATGCAGACGTGTTGTAATGGTGTGAATCGTGTAGTATCTGTGGACAAGTGCCAGTCGAGTGCAGGGAAATGCAACAAAATCTTTAGCTATGGCTTTTAGGATTGACGTCGTCACTTAACTAAAAGACCTAGTTTAGGTATTACAAAATAAAATATATGTGGTTGTATTGGCTACGTTTGTTTATTGTAAGCGAATAAAACAAAAAAGTAAAATAAATCCTCTCATATTTTTTTGTGTCTATTGGTGAACGATCTCATGCTTCACATTACATTAAGTCACTACCGGAAATAATAGACACGAATGCTGTCATCTATAAACATAAAACAAATACAACTTAAAGTTACTGGTGGTAGGACGTCTTGTGAGTCCGCAGGTGTAGGCACCACCACCCTGCCTATTTCTGCCGTGAAGCAGTAATGCGGTGAGGCAGCTGTTGTCACTATACTGAGATCTTAGAACTTATATCTCAAGGTGTTGTAGATGTCTATGGGCTCCTGTAACCACTTAACACCAGTAGGCTGTGAGCTCGTCCACCCATATAAGCAATAAAAAAATAAATAACTTAGTAAACATTACGTAACAGGTGTAATAAACCAAATCCAATCAAAAATGTTCTTATAAATCGAGAAACATCTACAGCACGGAAGAAAATGTAGTGACATGCAAATAAATTTTAATATACCCTACGGCTAATTATTATAAATGAGAATGTATGTTTGAATATTAGTGTGCCACCACACAAAAATGGCTGTACCCATTTGGATTAAATTTCTTATAAAAATAATTTACAACCTCGATACACACATAGGTAGTATTATCGTGGTAAATAGCATGACGCAGGCAACGCCGTCTAAAATAATTATAAAAAAAAATAAAGACAGAAGCAACTCTTTATCCCGGGAAAATAGAACGAACTCCATTATTTCATAATTAGAACTTTATCGTGGGTGAAACCGCGCGGTAAGTCTAGTATTAATTTATAAAATACATAAGCTATGAAACATTAAAATGAATAAAACAATGCATTGATATTTTTTGAATGTTTGTAACATGTCTTTTAAACTAGATTAACATCCGCCATTTTTTTATTATAAATAAAAAATATGATAAAATATGCATCAAGTTTGAAATATACATGTATAATATGAAAATCAACTGTAGATCAGTTTATAAAGAAGCAAAGAAAAAACATTGTACCTTTTTCTTTCTGTTCGCGATCCGATTTTCCGTATTTTTATTTAGTAATATTAAACAGCTTTAGTGGTTTAATTTCTATTTGGCAACGGTTAACTAATTTTCCTACCTTTACAAGTATTTTTTTAACTAAACAAAACATAAAACGTAATTTGAATCGAACCTTGAGATGTCAATGATTACTAATTGATATAAATCCATTAATTTATGCAAATGTATTTATTTTCTCACGTCAATGACACGAATTAAAAAACACGCAAGACGCCATTTTGAAAAACACTATTTCATAGTCAAACTGATTGTTAAAACGATAGGCAAAAGGATACGAGAAAATACTTTTTTATCTGAAGCAGACTAAACACAAAATTTTAGTATGTAAACGTTAATGCGAGTATAAATGTACGTCAATCACACGAGAGCGACGATCAAGGTCTGGGTGGAACCGAATGGACCCGGCGTCGGTTTGTCGGGTCGAATCGTGACGTCATCGCCCACCCTCGGTGGGTGTGACATTGAATGAATTCATTGCGAGGGTAGTGAAAGCCCTTCTACTAAGGTAAAGATGTATTTATAGAATTAGATTGTTCAGACGT